GTATGGATATCAATCTAGCATCTGTCAGTGTCAGCCGACGTCCGCCAGCGACCAGCAGCGAACACCAGCAGACTGGTGGTAGAGAGTATGAGAGCATAGGATGATACCGACTGTCTGCTGCCCTCCTAACACCTCATACCTTAGAAGCTATATACTACACTCCTATCTCCCTATACTCTGTAAGCTGTCTGCTAAACTCCTATCGCCCCATACTCTTCACTTTCGGACGGTGCTGGTCACTGGTGGACTTTGGCAGACACTGGCAAACGCTAGATTGATATCTATATTTTCCTAGTCGCTGCAGTTGCCGGAGGCTCAAAGCGCTAGTGGACGCTATCGGTCGCTGGTGGTCGTCGCCGCAAAGTATGAACGCAGCCTAAGCTAGTTGTGGAAGTTCCCGAGAATACTTTCTCTGACTTCCTTACTATACTCTTCTTTTCGGTTTGTTGAAGAGTAGCTTTCGATCGAATATTACCCCTTGGGAAAAAGCAGACATTTGAGAAAGAACGAATGGCTGAAACCAAAATTAACAAATTCCGGACGCAAATTGTGCAATAGGCCGTATGGAGCGGTGCGGCGAAAAAAAGTATGTCACACCATGTGTGCCACGAGGTCCGGAATTTGTTAGATAACCAGGCATTGCTGCACATGTTTCCCCATCTGATGTCTTTCTCAAAACTACCGGAGCTTGCTTTGCCCCAACAGTATAAGCAGAATTCCTAACTAGGCATACTACTACTCATGATTATCTTTGTTACTTTTTAGTGTATCAAAAGGACGAGAACGTATATGGACAATGATCGGACTCTGTGCAGGCTTACTCTACCATATAGCAACGTTTCCTTATCCAGTTGGACCAACACTCACGTGGACACCTGCAAGTAAGTGAACCGATTCTGCACCACTTCCCTTAAATTTTTAACTCTATAAACTAGAACTGGATCTCCTGAAAGAAATAAAAAAAATTACTGGCAGAATCACACAGTGCCCACTGTTAGTTCCCCTTATCGGAACTTGGAGCCTCAGATCGTGAAACGTTCAGGATTATTTTCTGGAGAACAGTATTGCTTTGCATTTGATAAATCTGGTATAATTCTGCATTTTTGCTAGCAGCTAGTGATCCAAGGGTTATCGCTAGAGTTTGCGAAGTTGATTCTCCTGAGACTCCCCGCACTGGGATGCTTGGCAAAAGCAGAGAGACAAGACAATTGTAATTTGGCAAGTTGCGCACCATGGGGGAGTGATCGCCGAATTCCCGATGTGCATCAGTTTGTCGAATGAAATAACGAAATTCAGGGACATTCAAGGAGGGGTATGACTCCAATTGGTCAGACGTTCCCCGTCCTTCTAAACTCGAATTCCAACAATTTTCAACGCCCGAATTTCAGAGACCATATCCCTTGGTAAGATACCGTATTGCTGCGACATCTTGTTGCAAGTGGTTTTCCATGCGCGGGATTTGCATTAAGACCTAGATGATTGAAGCAAAGGTGCTATATTACAGTATCCTTCGCTGCGAATGATGGAGCGTGTTACTGAGGCTGGGTTTGGCAAGCCGCCAGCTCGTTCTCCACTGGTCGTTGAGGTAAAGAGGTAATCCACACTAGTTGTTGGAGAAACGACCGATACGAACGATACGATACAGTCTTGCCGCTTGCCACTTCAATAGACAGGCGAAAACGAGTTTTCGTGCGTCGTAGACACCCATGTTTTTTGACAGCCAGATCATCCGCATGCGAACAAGAGTGACTTACAGATCTTCAAGTCAAACAACCAAACACCAAATACTGGCTGGCTGCTAGTTGTCGCCGCAAAGTAGATCACTCGACCCGCACCTGCTACCGAGTTACCCTTTCTAGGCAATAAAAGTTCAGATGATTCATTTCAGAAGCCAACGAAATTTTAAAGGACGACAGTCTGTCCTGCCTTTCAACTTCCCTTTAGTAAGATCTTAAACGAGCATTTTCGGGTAGATCAAACTAGAAAAGCAAATAAAAAGGAGCGAATGAACTAGAAGCCTTCAAGCACTAGGCAGAGAGAAAACGAGGTGTGTAAAGCGATGGAAGAAGTGCGACATGAGGCTTTCAGTGTACTTTCCCGATAAAATCATGAATGGGGACCAGTGGAGTGGGACCTTCCCTACAGATATATGAAAAAACGATTCCTGGTCTTGCTGATATTAGCAGTGCCTTTCTTAGTCCTGATAGAAAGCCTTACCTACAGGTAGTCCAAGAAAGAATAGCGGCCCAAATAGCATTCTCTGTCGTCTACAGAATGGAAGACAGCAGAAAAAGACACTTCGTTTGCGGTGCGCTCCATCACTGGTAACGCTGAACGGACTTACAAAATATATTGGACCAGGGCACATCGTTGTTGGGGAACCCCCAACAGGGGAGTCGTATTTGGCCGCCAAGAGAGAGGGGTCGTGTGGGCCGAGAAATTTATTTGATAGTTTGATTTTTCTCGCTCACGGACGTAATAAAACAGAAAGAAGGGGGGGGGGGGCCGGGTGCGCGGTCGTATTGTGTTGCGCTTTTCTGTCTCATCTAGCTTCACATGTGTTATTTACCCCCCCCCCTTCTTTCCTCCCCTCCCACCGCTCCACGGTTTTCGATGAGGAGAGGGGGGGGAGGGGGAGGGGGTCGTGCAGACTCGACTAGAATCCCCAACCAATGATGTGGACTCCTAACACACTCGATTCTTAACCAAAATGTTCCTGGGATGTGTTTTATCCGAATGTGCTCCGTATCACTACTGACTCCTCCGATATGAACCGTGACGCCATCCAGGCGGCTTTCAAAAAGCACTACAGTCTTTGCATTAGCCTGAAACAGCTGCGTAACTTCCACACCGAGTCACTCCTAGGCACCGTCCTGCAGAACCATCGCTCTGGTATTGGGAAGCCGAAGCCAACCAGCTGTGTGGATATATAGGTTGGAAGGGAAGTCTTGTCACTGTTGTGACTTCTCTTTTTTATTTTCTAACTCAGCATACAGTGGAAATAAGTCAACAATATACTCATTATAGTTAGCCACTACAGTGCTCCACCTAATGGGCAGGTAAGCATTCCCCCCCTCCCAGAACCGGGGAGGCTGCGAGTAAAGTAAGTCAGCGACCTCCGACTGGTGTCATCAAAGTTACTGAAAGTTTTCTTGGCTACGAAGGCCCTAAGAAGGTTGAGCAGGTAGCAGTCGTAGGGGACTACGTCAGAAGAGTACGAAGAGCGGGGTTCGGTCTCCCATCCTTGCTCTGCAATTATTTGGTAGTTCTCCACAGCAGATATTGGGTCTCGCGTACTATGAACGAGGTGCTCCAAAGCTACTCTCCTCATCATTACGGACTGTCGGGGCGTGTCAGTGCGGCTGCGTTTTCCGCGGTGCCAAAGCCTTCCTCCACCAGTTGATGAAACGGGAAAGCGGCATTACCGTATTATACCCTTCGTACTACTCGTTTTCTACCATTTTTTGTTGCATGCGCGTTTCAACGAAAAGGCTGAGAACGGCTTCAAACAGTGTGCGCACTCCTACTGGCTGATACGCCCCGACAGTCCGTGAATGATGAGGAGAGTAGTTTCGGTCATTTTTCTCCAGCAACTTCCAACGATTTCGGGAGCTAAGCCTAAAAGTGGTAGCGATGATCGTGTTCTTACAGGGCAGCTCATTCTGCAGCATCCCCTCGCGTTCCAGAAGCAGCACAGGAGAATCTTCTCGGAATACATGCCCGATCGGATTGCTAGAATGGATCTTCTCCTTGAGAGAGAGACACACGGTATCGTGTGGGTCGAAATCCCAGAAGACATGAATCTTCTCCTTGAGAGAGAGACACACGGTATCGTGTGGGTCGAAATCCCAGAAGACCCATCTGTCATCTTCACTAAGCAGTATCCCAGTAACACCTTCTGACGAGGGCGGAGAAGGGGTGTTCCACCAAGGGTTACCCACCTACACAGCCTGCATCGCGTTTTTTTCAAGCATTGAGTGAGTCCATCTAGCCAGCACTTTCGCGTAGTCAAGGCTTACCAGGCGGATAGCAATATTGCTTAAGTACACCTTGAATCTTGTCGCAAGACTGCATGTGGTAACCTCCGGCTCCTCCTTGACAGCTTCGAGAATGGTGGAGTTTTCCACTTCTTGGGCCGTCCCAAGCGAGGTTTGTTTTCGAGGGTCGTGTCTCTTTTGCGAGGTGACGCGAATCAAAGATGGACCAGTATTGATGATTCGGTGTGATGTCCATCGGCCAATGCACTGCTGATGTTGCGGACAGCTGCCGCTACTCCAGTGCCGCGGGGCCATTGATAGTAACATGATGACCAGAAGATGCTCCTGTGAAACTGACATCGTATACCCAGGAAGCAGGCGCCCCACACAACTCTTGCAGGAAAGCTCCTAGAATGTTCTACAAGCATGGCATGTTACGCCATGTTCGAGCATCAAGAACCGAAAATGTAGGCTTTTCAAAAACACTGACAGGACTTTCCTTCAACCTAATCGTATTCACGATCCACGTAGAAGGAAGTTTCCTATAATCTGCCAGTCAACGCGATCGCCACGCGCGATGAGATCCTAGGCACGTCGGACTCACAATTCTAGATGATACCAGGACTGAGACTAATGCATGATGTGAGTGTCCAAAAGGTCCACCCCGTCACTCCGCTTCGAATTGTTTCTGGAAGCATGCTTTTTGTGGACAAGATTACAATATTCCTCCTGAATTCTGTTTGCAAAATATGACCATAGTGGCAACTGTGATGTCCAGAAATGAACTGCAGTTGAAAATTCGAGAACATTCTATCATCTGCTCTTCAAGGACTCATCCACTAACTTTGTACTAAAGAAAACTTCCAAAAATACTTCTAGTCCTAATAGATCACACCAATGACTACACTACCTTCTCAAAAGTCATCGTAAGGATTGGATCAGTGAACCTTATCGTTAGGAATGTACCTAAAGCTGCAACGTCTTGCTAGATATCTAGGTCAGGGTATTACCTTGTGACAGTCTCTGCATTCAGATGCCACAAAAAACAACGAGAGCGTCGGCTGTGATCCGAGCGAGTACAAGTGGTGCAACTCGACCCACGATGTGAGTTGGTTCCTAATTGAAACTGAATTATAGATTGACCTTGTAATTTTCTTCCCACCGTAAAGCAAATCACCTTCAGAAACTCTTTCTTTCGGAAAAAAATCTCCCATCCTTCAATGAAATCCAAAGAAGATGGCACACCCACAAGAAGGTTTTTCATCAGCATAAAAAGACGCAATCTCAGTGTCATGCATGTGCCAAATTTCTCTTTTCGGAAAGGATTTGCTCAGGAAAGGAACGCTCAAAGAGGAACTACATGACTGAAAAGGATAACAGTGCAAAAAGAGGCAAGATGGCGATAGGGAAACTCTCGTCTTGCTTGCGCTGATGAGATCAACCTCAGAGTTGTTGGTGCGAATAAAGGAATACCTTTGGAAATGAAAACTGATCGAAAATCTTGAAAAACTGTGTCGACTAATTCAAGAAACATGGCGGGGGTCGAAAGCAAAGAGGGTAGCTGAAAACCCCACTTTCCGGAAAAAATAGGATTTTTCTAGGTAAAGAAAACCACATTTTTCGGCCACAGAAAAGTCGAATCGCAAGAAACT